GTCCCTTATCTTCAGAGCTAACAGCTCTCATATGGTATCTTCACTTTTCGTCCAACAAACTCTGTTAAAGTAGCCAATTCAAGAAAAGATGCCAGGTCAGCCCCTTCCTTACCTAATTGCCCAGTCCAAACCTTCTTAGTGTCTTTCAACTGAGAATTCAGGTACCTCTTCCTGAACTGCCTTAAGTTCAAGGAAAACCTACACCTCATAGTGAGTTTATCCATCACCAATAAAACTCCTGATTCTCAACCAAGATGGGAGATCCAAGACCCCGGAGAGACTCACTTGGTCATCTGGACTCTCCAAAGAGACAGCAGGCACAAGGGTCTGGTCCCTTGCTGGTACCAAGGCTCTGGATCCTTGCAGCATTCAGGTGAAGGAGAGAAGTCCGCTCTGGGTCCCTTCATGGTTGCCAAAACTGTCGACTGATAGAAAAATGCACAACGTGAGGGCTGTAAATTTAGGTTTTATTCTGGGTCTTACTGAGAACTGTAGCCTGAGAGACATCCACTCAGTAGCTCTGAGTAAACTGCTCTGACAAAGTAGGGAAGAAGCCAGAATATATGTCATTTGGGGCCAGAAAATAACTGCAGTCAAGTATTCATCTTGGTAAAAGATTACTACTAGTCACAAAGAACATATATTTCAAGTTTATGATTTTAGTGTTTTTCTAACGTATGAGAAGATGCGAGAATCTGGGCTGACTAGAATCCTTGAGATACACATCTAAATATCTAAGGGGACTATTTGTCCAAAGCACGGAGCATCCTGTTTTTGTCTTCATTTCCTCTGTCTGGAGCACAGAGTGCACTGTTGGTCAGTGACCACAGCAGGTTAATCCTTGCAGAATTGGATGTTGAGAAAAAATGTTCCTTTGCTTACAGTGAGAAAATAGAGACAATTCAATCAAGAGGTTTGGGTAAGAAGGGGAGGAAAAAGAGGGTAGTAACTGGTCAGAGACAGGAGTCGTGGCAGATGTTTGGGTGCTATTTGACTTTGCATCAGT